ATTCTGTATAGGATATAATGAAATTTACTGAATTAGTAAATAAATCTTTACAGTTTTTTACCACTTTTCTATCTGAATTTATGGGTTAAATAAAAGGTCAATAAACATGTATGCGTAGGTGCCTGAATTTGTCAAAGTAACTTATTAAACATTATGAAATCTGACATTTTTACAAGAAGAATCTATCTATACTCCTTATAAATAAAATTTTTACTTTCAAATTTGTGGTCTGTATTTGTAAATTTCTAATTTCTACTTGTAAGTTTGTAGTTTTCACCCATACATTTGTGATTTGTATTCATAAAATTGATTTGGACTCGTAAAATAGATTTGTACGAGTACATTTTTTATTTGTTCTCATAAATTGTATTTGTACATTTCTAATTTGTACCCATAAATTTGTGTTTTGTACTCATTTTTAATTTTTGCCTGGGAATTTGTGACTGTACTTTTGTTTTTGTTTTTGTTTTTGTTTTTTACACCTTATATTGCCATTACACTGTCACAAATACAGAGCAACGAAATAAACTCTCTTCATTTAACCCATCCCCTTGGGGAGCAGTGGGGTGCCATTGTGTGGCGCCCGGGGAGCAGTGTGGGGTTAAGGGTCTTTGCTCAGAGACCCAGAGTCTGTGGGAGTGGGGCTTGAACTCAGAACCTCTGGATTCCAAGCCTTAACCACTATAAAGTTGTTATAAATTTGTAATTTTTTAACTTGCATTTGTATTCATAATTTTATATTCTCATCAATTAAACATCTAATCTCACACATAAGCCTATGCATGAGAAGACAACAAGGACTAAATACAAATTTTAAATTTCTTGAGGTATAATTACTTATCTTGACACATTCAGACATGTTTACCAACAGCCATCTTACCCCATTGCAAGATCCAAACAAGAGAAAATTTGCTTCTCCTTTCAGAACAGAATAGGAAACTACGAACCATAACAGGTCTGATTAATCTTGACTTCATAAAGCAGAGTCAGGATTTGACACCATCTTGTATTTAAAGCGGGTGAGGTTGGAAGTAGTGGAGTAAAGTTGTGGATGATATTTTATTTTTGGCTCCTTTTGACTTTGTATATTTTCTAATAAATTTAAATTAAAGCTTATCTTAGAAATTAACTCTAGTGGATGTGAGATTTCTTTTTTCTGTACATCTAAAGACCTTTCAAATATATAACTCCCTGTAACTATTGCTATATATATCTATATATCTATATATATATCTATATATCTATATAGCAATCAGATGATGATTGTAATAGTAAATAAAGCAATATATACTGATCAAAATTATCCAATATATATATATATTAGTGTGTTTTTACAAATTTCCATGAAGCATTTTCTTTCTAATCTGTTCTTTTTATCTTCTGTTGTACAGCTAAACTTTAAAATAGTTGTTTTTAATACATTATTCATTATTCTTGTTTACAGGTATAAGCTTTTTTTTTAATCTAGTTTTTGCTAGTGTTACACCTGAATGTTCCCAAAATGAGACATATTTCTCGTCTAGCCGGACGTACCCCTCGGTAGCCTGTGTTGTGTGTTCTTCCCCTCCGGAGCACAAGGGGGCGATAAACCGTCTGTAGCGTAGCTGTTAACTGCCGGTTGAACAGGAAGAAGACCGGGGGCGCTGAAAGCAGTGTGGCTTCTGTCTACATTTGAACAGGTGAGTTTTATTTACTCATTTAACTCATTTTTTATAATATTTCAACCATCCCCACATCTATGGAGGAGCTGGATGGATATCCTGCCAAGAGTTTAAAGCTGACCGCCTCAACAGAAGGGATTAAAATCGTAGTTGTTAGCCATAGAGCTAACAGATGCTAGCATCATGAGCTACAACTGAATGAAATTGTAATTAAACGGGGCTTAAACATCCATTTATGAACTTTGTTTTAATCGTAATATTTAGTTAACGTAACCTTTTACTCATATAATTGTTAAATGAAATACAAACATTGGCATTGGGCAGATTAATCCACGTAAAGCAGTTTGTTTTCTACAGAAACATTTATTTCTTGTTTAGTTGAGCAAATAACTGTGATGATGCTGCCTCCAGGTCCTGGTCATCAGCTGATCACTATGTTTCTGTTTTATTGTCTTTAAACTCGTCTCTACAGAAAAGACCCTTAAACAGCCTGAATGTATGAAATGTTTTCGTCTGCTCATCTATGGAGTGATTTTTGTTCTATGTTGTATGCAAAACGTTTTGCCAATGAAAATAAAAAAGAGTGCAATCCAGAAATAAAGAAATATTAATCAAAAAATCTTTAGAGTAACTTCTCAGATTTTATAATTTCAAATAATTATTTATTTTTCATGTAATTTTTCATATCTTAGTATTTCAAAACATTTATTTTATAACATTTTTCATGTGTTCATTGGGTTTGAATTGCATTATTTTCTTTTATTGGTCAGCAACATTTTTATTGGTCAATGTGTCCAGAACGAGCCTTTCTATTGGACTAGAAGTAAAAATAATGTGATCTATAGAGCTGAAGCAGTTAATTGTGATTAACTGATTATTGAAATGATCAACTGATTATGATAAATTGTAAATGTTTATAGAGAGACTCTATAACATGCCTTTAGCTGACAGAGCAACCCACTTAGAGCAGTAATTATAGTAAAATTTTAAGAACATAAAAACATCTTGCATTTTATAGAGAAAAATGTTTTTTGTTCATCCAGAATCCCTCAAGTGGAATAGTTTTAGTTTTACCTGGTTTAGATTCTGTAAAAAAAATATTCCTTAATAAATCTTTTCTTATCCACTATCAATCGATTAACCGATTAAAAAAATAATTGGCAGATTAATCAATTAGCAATTTAATGATTAGTTGCAGTACTAATAATCTGTCTTTTATTTTGAAAAGGTGTAAATTCATTAAATTAAATCTTCAAATCAGATAAATAAAATTTGGGTAAATTAGTTTGAAAAGAAAAATATGAAGACGAAATTGAAATAAAAATAAAAATTTGAGAAAAAGCAAAGTTACAATGCTACTTTCTTTTAAAAAAGAATTTTATTTATTTTTTTCATTTCTGGATTGTTTTTGTATTTATTTCCATTTAAAAACTTGTTCTTTGCAACAGTAATGGTATAACAGGACCTCCATCCTGATGATCATCACCTCCCTTTGTTCTGGCTGTTTCAGGGCTGGTTATCCATCCGCAGCAGTGAGTTGCAGTGAGCTTGTCGAAGATATTTTTGATTTATGCTCAATATTAAAGTGTGGTCTGCACTGTTATTCCACGCCAAGAGGGACAATCAGGAACTAGCTGTGGGTCTAGATACGGCCGAGGCGGTGAGGAAGTGGGGGCAAGTTTGTCTGACAACAGAGGGATGTGAGGGTGAAAGAGAGCGGGTATCCAGGTGGAAAAAGGGTCCCAGCGTTCTCGCACAACTCGCTCTTCTAGCTGGTCAAACTTCACAAGTTGTTTTCCACAATGGCGGTCAGACAAAAAAAAAAAAAAAACAAACCAGTAAGGTACCAAACAGGAACTATGCATATTGTGGAGAGGATGTAGATCGACCAATCGGAGGCCTCCTGTCTGCGGCACTGTCTGCGGTCACCTACATTTTGGGCGAGGTGTCTGCGGAATGGGCAGGGACATCTTTGCGGTCACCGTGACACCTATGCAGACGACCTGGTTTGGAAGTATAAATTAGTGTTATACAATCGTCAGTGATTAAGCTCTGACGCATCACTTATTCTTCATTTTCTTTCATGTTGGTTTAGCTGCTTCATTCACCCAATAACAGATCAGAGGCAAATAAAGACATACATAAATCAAACTCTGGTTTAAGTTCTGTTTTCGATGGCGTTAAAACGGGTTCAAGTGGATGGAAGTAGCCTAAGAACAGCGGTTCTGGTCCTGTTTGCCTCTCAGCCCGCAGCATGACTGCAGGTTTCTCTTTTTGTTTCCACAGCTTCCATCATGGATATTCGACCCAATCATACGATCTACATCAACAACATCAATGACAAGGTCAAAAAAGAAGGTCAGTTTGCATCTGCTGCTGGTTTCCCTTACATCTGTGTTTAAATACCAAAGTTTCAGCTGTGGCACCGATGTTGCCTTTTTTTTTCTTCTGCTGATTGTTTTCTATTGGCTGAAACTGATTTTATAACTGGAGTCATCGTTTCCAAGGCCCTCAATCACACTTCTATTGGAAAGATAAGACTTAAACCAGTACAGTGCAGTGCCACATATGCCATCAAGGTAGTTTAACAGAGACACTAGAGTGTTGTGGTCCAGAGTGTCGAAGGCTGCTGTCACATCTAAGAGCACAAGAATAAAATGGAAATTTGACAAGAGCATGTCATTAGAAAGTCTTAACAGAGCTGAAACATTGCCTTGCAGAGTTTCAAAAGCAGACTAAAACTCCATCAGGACACCATGTTCTTCTAAAAATGACTTAATTTGAGTGTAAACACATTTTTTAAAGATGTTTTTCAAATAAAGGCAGCATATTGGCTCTGATGGCAGCATGCTGGAGTTGGCAGGAGGTTCTGAGTTCAAGTCCCACACACACCATAGACTGCCAAGCTGGCTCCCTGAGCAAGACCCTTAACCCCAGACTGCTCCCCAGGCGCCAACAACGGCAGCCCACTGCTGCCCAAGGGGATGGGTTAAATACACAGAGTGAAGTTCCATTGTGGGACAATAAATGATTTAAATTAAGTTTTTAAGTAGGATCTGGACCACAGCATGTTTAAAACTTAAAGCTAAAACTCCCGAGGAAAGCCTACTGTTTATAATTTCCAGAACTGACTGCCCTATAACAGAGAGAACTGATTTCAAGATGCTGGGGGAGGACATCATGGGTAGAACCTGTTGGCTTCCTATGGTCAATCTGATCTAAAAGCCATAGAAATATTGGCTCCAAGTCCTCAGGAGCTGCAGAACGAGGGGCATGAGGAGATGCAGGAGCGACCTTATCAATGAAAAAGTGTTGGAAGCTGGTGCAGGTCTCAGAAGATGCCTCCCAGCAGATGTGGGGCAGTGAGAAACGTGTCAGTGGTTTTAAAGCATGTGGGGTGTGGTGATTTAATTCAATGAGATCAGACGGGTATTTTAGTTTGACTAGTTCAGAAAAGGCCTGTAACTCGGCTATCATTGGAAATCAGCTGTACGGAAGCAGGAAAAACTCTAAAACCTGCAGGACTGCGGTAACTTAGTCAACTAGCCCCACCCGCCAGCAGCCAAAATCATTTGTGGCGGTGAGTTTGGTCTAGCCTCGATCAATGCCCCAGGCCCTAGAACTGGCTGGCCAATCACAACGCAGATGTGTTTTGATTTTCTGGATGAAAAGCGGGTTTTTTAAGGTTTCATTTTGTTTAAATTGAGATCTGTAGAACATTTACTTTCATGTAAATTGGGGGAACTAACATAGAAAGGTAACGGCTTCAAATATTGGCCCAAAAAAATCAGCCACGCATATTAGAATGATGTCGAAATATTCAACATCTGCCTTAAACAAACCTGAATCAGTCGGTCTGTAGAATAAATGCGCTCTTAAAGGGCAGGGAGACTCTAAAAGGGATGACATTTCCTCCTGGAATCTGTGATCTAAAAACAACTGAGCATTTAAGTCGACTCTGACTGTAGAGATGATGCTGAAGATCAACCATCGATTCAGACAAACGTTCATGTTTTTGTTTTTATTACTTTTTTTACGTCAGACATTTCCAAATGGAGCAGTTTAGTGCTGCAGTCATATTCCTGTGAACCGATTTGATCCTATCGGAACAGACGGACTCATTTCTGTAGCTGCTGAAACTTCCGGTATCAGTGACCAGCTCTGATAACCTCCTTCCTCCTCTGCAGAGCTGAAGCGTTCGCTCTACGCACTCCTCTCTCAGTTCGGTCAGATAGTGGAGATCGTGGCGATGAAGACGATGAAGATGAGGGGTCAGGCCTTCGTGGTCTTCAAGGAGCTCACGGCCGCCACCAACGCTCTGAGGCAGCTGCAGGGCTTCCCCTTCTACAACAAGCCCATGGTACGTCGCCTCCTCACGCCCTGCCGACGCCTGTTCCAAAGACATAAGCTTTAACGTATGTCTCGCTTCCTTCCAGAGGATACAGTATGCCAAGACCGACTCTGAGGTTATCGCCAAGATGAAGGGAACGTTCAGTGACAAGGAGAAGAAGAGGGAGAAGAAGAAGAAGGCTCAAGAGGCTGCAGCAGCAGCTAACGCCACTAAGAAAGCGGCGCTGGTGAGTGACTGACCAGTGACCGGCTGATGGGTCTGAGTCTTTAACGGGTCATCTGTCATCCTAAGAGCTCGCATCAGTGCCGCTTAGTTCTCCACACGGTCCATCTGGGAGCAGTTTGCTCACTCCTTCCTGTTTACTTTGCAGGCGATGTCGACGGCGCCGCAGACACCCGCAGTCCAGGTAAGATGGCCGCCGCCTGCTTTTGAATTTCTCAATTTAAAATTTCAGAAATATAACGGAGTTCAAGGTTTTATACAGTAGCTCAACAAAGCCTTGTTTTTTTTTTTTTTTTGTTTTTTCACATATGCATACAAGCCCACATTCAGGCTATATAGTATACTATAAAAGAACAAAACTTTGAAAGTATGTTCAACAAGTTATGCTTGCAACTAAAGTAGGTCACATGGTTAAACATAAGTAACTTACAAACACAAATGTAGTTAGTAATTAAATAAGCAGCACCAATGGAAATAAAAATTAAATAGAAAATAATAAGTAAATATAAAAAAGTACAATAGAAATTAAATAGAATACAATTAAAGAAAGAAAATAAATAAAGAAAAGGAAAAAAAAAAAGTTTTACTGCATTAATATGGTCATTGTCGGTTTCCACCTATTAACAAATATATCTACAAAGGGTCCACCCCTTTGAAATGGGGATCATTTGGCTTCTTTTGTTAGCCTGCAATGCCCCACCCCCCAAGTGTCTGAAGGGGGGGTTGTTAAAGGGGATTGTTGGCCTGGCTGAATAGACAAGGTCCTCTGCTCTCCTGTACTGGGGCTGGGCTGATAGCGGGAAGGGATTAACTCAACTGCTGCATCATAGGTTTTTGAAACAACCCCAATTCCAAATGGATGGACCCCTTCGTCTGTTCCAATTTGCATGTTTTTTGGGAACAACAACAAGCAGCCAAGAAGACCATGGCGACTCTGGGGAAGCTGCAGAGATCCACATAAATCTGAGCCTTAAGGAAAGAAACATGTAGAGGGAAATGATCTGATGGGAGGAGATCAGAACTGAACTTAATCATTTACATCCAAGAATTACAGGCTTGAAAGGCAACACACATTCATTAGAATGATCTTGTCAAAGCCCAGCCTAAAACCCAGACTATCTGTGGGCCGACTTAAACACTGAGAGTCCAGAGAGGAGGAAACTTTCAGTCTGTAGATGTTCAAACCTGCTGCAGCCTAAAGAGGTTCTACTGGGTTCTGAGTCAGGAGGGCTGAATGCAAACGGACACCAGAGCAGTTTCAGATAAAATGTCTCCTGTTAATCTCCTCAGGTTCCGGACAATCCACCGAACCACATCCTCTTCCTCAATAACCTCCCTGAAGAGACCAACGAGATGATGCTCTCCATGCTCTTCAACCAGTGAGTCCACATCACAGCACCCAGAACCGCCATACTGCCTTTCTTCTACTACCCCCTAAAGCTTTTTGCGTCCTCCACCAGAAGAAAGGACTTTTTTCTCTCTGAGACGTAAAAACAAAACGGCATCATTTTGTTCTCCACACATCATCTGCTGTCTTTGGTCAATAACTAAAACAAATGCAGGTCAGATTAAATGTTTGGTGTCACAGACGTAGCTGAGTGCCACCATTTTGGTTTATCTTTGTGGCAGCTAGTTGACTTTTGGTGACCTCTGAAAGCTTTAATCAAAATGATGGCCAAACAAAACAATTATGCTAAACCATTTTGGTTGGTTTTGGTTCATTTTAGCGGGGCGGTTTACTTTAGGTGGTTTTGGGTCTGAAATCCGTACAGCAGTCCGTTCTGTAGTGGATAGTTCAGGGATGGTGCTGTTCACATGGACAGATAGGGAACCAAGGTCTGTTACCGGGGAAACGCTGTTGGTTCTCTGCGCTATCACGCCAACATCATCTAAAATGGACAAAGACGACGATGTGGCTGCAAAAAGGAAGAGGTGGAGAGGAAAAAATGAATGTTTGTTTAATTAGTAGTTGTAGGAAAATCAGGCATTTTTCAATCCTCATAGGAGGAATGGCCGCCTCTGCCTTTTGTTCACGTTTTCTATTGATGGTGTGATGTAAGCTACAGAGGTCGGTTCTGTCTGTGAGCTCAGCAGCTGAGTGAGCTTCTAGCCAGGGACGAAAATACTTTTTCCTGTTGTTTTTTTGTTTTTTACATTGACAAATATTAAAAAAAAAGTCTTTTGTAGGGATTTGTTGAATCGTAGTTAACTGGTAAGAAGGGATCCACCGTGGGAAGCTAAACTGATTGCAGCTAGCATGCACAAGGCGACAGTGGAGAGGAATTGATTGCTATTTTTTTTTTCTGCACCCTTATTGGCAGAAGGCCTTTACTTTAACAATAAACCTTCACCATGAAACCAGGTTAAGGACCGCCCACACGTCGAACTTTATGCATCACGTTAGTTCTGGAGAGAAATATCAGCTGTGCTGCTGCCATCAAAACCTTTATAGATGTTGGAGATTGGCCTGTTTTCCAGTGTAGTCCTGTTTCTCTGACTGTGAATGGCTGGATGTGCTCTCTTCGTCCTCTGACATGGGAGCTGGCTCGGAGATCGTCTGCCTGGCTGTGTGTTTCCTGGATGGGGCCGCCTTTTACAGCTGCTTTTTGTATCTCTGCTTCTGTCTCCTTGAACCCCAGTCGGCTTCAGCAGATGGCCGCTCACACTGAGCATTTGAGTCCATTAGTTGATTTAATCAACTGGTTTTCCTTAGATATAGAACTTTGAATCAATCTGAATGGATGATCTGGTGAACTGTAAAGTGCCTTGAAATGACATGTGTTGTGAATTGGCGCAATATAAATAAATTGAATTGAATTCTTCACATTTCTGTTTCTCTGCAGGTTTCCTGGGTTCAAAGAGGTCCGACTGGTTCCAGGGAAACACGACATCGCCTTCGTGGAGTTTGAGGGTGAAACACAGGCGGGCGTGGCCAAAGATGCTCTGCAGGGCTTTAGGATCACAGCCACCTGCGCCATGAGGATCACCTACGCCAAGAAGTAGTTCCTGATTGGATCGGAGGATCAGAGACTCAGTGGGGGTGGGGGGTGAATCCATCTCTACCTTTTTGTTTGTTTTTTTTTCTTTTTAGGTTTTTTTATTATTTCTTCAGTGACGGAGTTAGGAGGAGAAACCTCTGGAATTTTGTAAAATTAAAGAATTAAACGACTAAATTCTCTTTGTTTTCTACCTCGGCCTCTTGCAGAGTGTTTTTTCAAAAATGATCAAATAAAGATGGCTGCATCCTTTTCCCCTTTATCCAAAGAAAAGTGNTTCTGTTTCTCTGCAGGTTTCCTGGGTTCAAAGAGGTCCGACTGGTTCCAGGGAAACACGACATCGCCTTCGTGGAGTTTGAGGGTGAAACACAGGCGGGCGTGGCCAAAGATGCTCTGCAGGGCTTTAGGATCACAGCCACCTGCGCCATGAGGATCACCTACGCCAAGAAGTAGTTCCTGATTGGATCGGAGGATCAGAGACTCAGTGGGGGTGGGGGGTGAATCCATCTCTACCTTTTTGTTTGTTTTTTTTTCTTTTTAGGTTTTTTTATTATTTCTTCAGTGACGGAGTTAGGAGGAGAAACCTCTGGAATTTTGTAAAATTAAAGAATTAAACGACTAAATTCTCTTTGTTTTCTACCTCGGCCTCTTGCAGAGTGTTTTTTCAAAAATGATCAAATAAAGATGGCTGCATCCTTTTCCCCTTTATCCAAAGAAAAGTGAGTTAGCTTTTATGAGACGGAACAGCAGTTTAAAACGAGAATAAAAAACAGGGTTTCCGCAGGTCATTAAAAGTCATTTAACTATTGTTTTTTTTTTTTATTGAGGCCATAATTGGCATTAAAATTCATTAAATATGATTATTGTGGCATTTAAAGTGCTTTATTAAAAAAATGTTTATAAAAACAATTTCATCAGATATACCGGTATTATATCAGATATAACTGGCTCAGTGTGTCTGCGCAAAACTGCTTCCGGTTGATCGTAGCCTGAAACGATCGGAAAATAAGCTGGAGGCGAAGATAAAGCTAGAGTTAGGGAAAATGCAAATTACAACAAAAGTGAAAAAATTGGAAATTCAGGACATGGCTGCAGCCTGTCAACAGTAAAGATGATGAAGGATTTCGCTGTTTTAATTTTATATATATATATATATATATATATAAATGAGACTCATGGGTACCTGTTGATGGCATTAAAATTATTTGTAAGAGCCTTAAAAAGCATTAAATTAGAGTTACTCATTCCTTTATAAACCCTGAAAAATAGTTGTTTCAAAAAAGGCTTTGCAGTTTTAAATCCTTTTTTTTTCAGTTTAAAAAATGTTTTTAAACTTCATGGTCACAATTTAGCTCCATACAGTACAGTTTAGACTGTTCAGGGCTCACCTAGCAATAGGCACATTATAGCACTGTACTGTAGGTGTGAGCAGGCTATCTGTGGCCACCTCCTCAATGGCTCAACGACTTGGTGAAAAAATTTAGACCTCACTTAGGCATGATGCCACCATTTCTAAACAACTTGGAGCTTAAAGGCAAAGGCCATTATTATGCTAACTAATGCTATGCATATGATGGAGGACTTCACAATATGCAGCGATAGAACTTAAGAAAAAAAGCGGGTTCACTACAGCAGGTCTATTTGTTTG